CACATAGCAGCAAGCGATCTGTGAGTGCCAAAAAATGACGAACTTGAAGCAGGATACATCAATGATTCAGAAGTTGTTCAATACGAACGAACATGACCTTCATTATTGCAATCAACCGGACTCCCCAAGAGCAGCAACACGTAAGTACATCACATACCAAACCGCCCTCTGCTTGTTGGTTTTGTAGAGAACAGCATTTTGCTCGAAACTGTCCATTTCAGAATCAAAGTTGCAACCGATGCGGCAGAAGAGGTCATAAAGAGTCGTGTTGCTTGCCGAGTAATCCCACATTGACGAAGAAGCGCAACAATGTCACACCGTTCAGACGCCCAATGGGATCAGATCGATCCCAGCAACTTTGAAGGTTGGTGGCGTCAACGGGCGTAAATACGCCATGGTGGAAATCAATAGCAGAAAAGTCAAGTTGTGACTTGATACTGCTTCAAACATCACTCTGATCTCTCGCAATACGTGGCGCAGGTTGGAGTGGCCGACACTCGTACAAACGGCCATACGGCCCGGAATACTTCAGGCGGTAGGTTAAAATTGTTTGGGGAATTGAACTGTCAAATCAATTCTCAGGGCCAAGCAATCCACACGTGCATTGTGACAGATCGACCGAAATTAGATTTGTTGGGACTCGATTGGATGGACAAGTCAAGCAACAGTATATGCCAGCAGTTACAAGTCAAGCAATCTACATAGATACCAATGATGAAGCCTGCATTGCGCAAGCAAACTGCAGATCTGCAGCGACGCCATGAAACGTTGTCCAATCTCGGTCTCGGATGCTGTCGCGTAGCCAGGTCGGAGCTGAGCCTCAAATCAGATGCCGAACCAGCCTTCAGACCAAGACGCCCGGTGCCGTACGCAACTCAATCTCTAGTGGTATCCGAGCTAAATGGATTACAATCCGAAGGTATAACTGAACTGGTCCACTATTCAGAATCGGTGACACCTATTGTTGTGGTAAAGAAAGCGAACGACAAGGTCCGTATCTATGTTAATTTTTCAACAGGCTTGAATTTTGCGCTGGAGACGCACCAGTACCCATTGTCTGTACAAGAAGACTTGTTCTTCAAACGCAACGGTGGCAAATGCTTCGCAAAACTTGCCGTAGCTGACGCATACTTGCAAGTTTCAGCTGCCAAGGAGTGTAAAACATACTTAACGGTTAGTAGGCAATCTCGGACTTTTTCAGTAGACCCGGCGGCCATTTGGGATGAAAACCGCACCGGCCGTTTCTAACACATTATGGATACCCTATTGAACGATATCCGCAATACCGTAGTTTACCTGGATGATGATATGATTATGGGTGCAGATCCGTAAGACTTCATGCACACTCTGGAGACAGTGCTTTTACGTTTGGAAGAAGCTGGATTTCGGTTACGGACTGGGAAATGTGAGTTCATGTTAGATGGTGTCAAATTCCTCGGGTTTATCATAGACCGACACCCAATATCAAAGATAGCAAACAGATGGAGCCTCTAAAAGACGAAGCAGATCTTCTCCCTGTCTGCTGGTACGAGCAGGGTGAGGCGGAGCTTGGGTGGTACTGTTCAAGCCTTCCCGTCGTATTATCTCCATTCTTACGCTTTTTCACCCTTATGGTCACTTTTTAACTTCATTATATCAGCCCCGTTTTCAATCCCCAAAATACTTGGTCCTCCCCCATCATGCGTTGATAGGCGATTATCTTCTAGTTTCAACTAACATGCCCCAAATCATGCGGAAAGCGGATGAGATCAGTTCGCCATCATGACATGGGCTGCTACGCGGTCGGCGTGAGTGCGACTACAAGTAACCAATGGAGACAACTAGCAGGTTTGAATCTGTCCAGACAAGGGACGCGAGTCAGTCCAGAAACGCACAGCCGGAGGTGATAGCATGTGACCTATAACATTAACCGTGTTCTCTTCCTAATACACTTCCGTCTAATAGGTCTCGGTCTTCTGTTCTTTCCCCGGCTGGGTTGGTGGCGCAGAGAGCAAAGGCAAGGGCAACGTTACAAAATACGTGCACGTCCTATACGAATCCGCATATCGTCTGCTCTTTTACCTTTGATGTAGTATCTACTCGTGAAAATTTGTCAGCCGCATGAAGCAAGGGGACTCGATCAGCCAAATGACTGCTAATCCTATCGGATATGCGTCATCAACAATGTTAGATGCCATTGAAATCGCTCGCTCGGTTCAGACACGAACTTTCACTTGACGATTTGAATGCCCGCAGACATAATGTAGATCTGGCAAAAGTTCTCCGACTCACGATGGAACAAACGCTCAGAGATTGATTGGACTACGTTGCACGGGTTGCAACAACAAGTTGAAAATGTGCCTTGCCGACACACCGACAGTGCTTGAGACACAGAAAGCACTTACTCAGCTGTGAAACGGTATTCGGTGTAGAACACCAGATTGATGGTGGATTGCTGAACAGCCGTGGTTTCAGCTTGAGGACCACAGTGTGTGACACAACCATCCTTATCTTCCTGTTTGTGGACGATTGTGCGTTGTTTGCACACAGCGGGGATGTGTTGCAGCGCATGAATTCGGTTCTCGCTTTGACAGAGGCCAATTTCGGGATCACCATCAACACAAGCAAGACTGTTTGTTTTTTCAAGCCTTTACGAAGAATGGAGTCCGTGGGCGTACCGTAAATTCAGGTAGCTGATGACCTACTGGAGACAGCACCGAAATTCTGCTACCTTGGGAACGTAATGCCAACCGACCTACTAATGATGAGCAAACTGTGTATCCGCGAATCAAAGGCGGTTGTTGCATTCCGCAAGCTGGAGAATCGGGTGCGGAACACTCATCAGCTGACCACGGGGACAAAGCTGATGGCATACAAATCGATTGTTCTGCTCGTTCTTCTACACAACAGTTAAATCTGGCCGCTGAACGGAAGGACGTCGGTTATTTGGGGTAATTTCAACAACAGTGCATATGTGGAATTCTATGCATCGGCTGTGATGAGTCAGTTGCAGACACGGAGGTGCGCCGTCGCAGATGAATGTATGCACTGGACTGCATACTTCTGCTGAGGCGCGTAAGGTGGCTGGGGCATATCAGCCGCACGGATTCGACGCAGCTACCGTAACAGCTGCTTTATGGCCAACTGCGTGCAGATAAGCGGCAGGTGGGAAACCGAGATTACGCCACCAAGAAATGATCAAGGTAAGTTTATCACAGACTAATGCTGAATTTTGGCGTTGGAAATCAAAGGTATTTGCGCAGCGTCTATGGCGAAAGCATAACAGGAGACCGATTGTGCAGGTGCATGAGAAAGTATTAGCGCATGCGGAAAAGCAACGTCCAGTACGGAAGCGACAGGCACCGATGGAGTCTAGGCCATCGACGTCGAGTGCGTGGTGCAGTAGAACAAGCGATCGCGAGTGTCTCTGCCAAGGCGTCTTAATAAGCCACGAGCGTCGCCACGCGGGTCCAACATCTAAGAGGCAACGAGTAAGCTGAATAGGTAATCATCACCTGTGCTTTCGATTCAAGTTACTAACCCAGGTCAATAGTGCGATCGATGTGGCATCGTGCTACATCATCGCTGCAGTTAGTCTGTACGTGTGTGAGCCTGCGTAGTGAGTTTCTTGAAATTCAAATGTTGGCGATTCATTGATATCCTCGTTGTGAGTCAGTAGATGTGAATGTTGAGAAGGTGCCTATATGTCTAACACCTACCACCTCAATTACTGGCTCCAGGAGACTGTGAATCGTTGCTAGGATGGGCAGCGTGCATGGTCTTCGTGACCATGCTAGCACAAAGGGGAATTCCATCCATTGTTGAGCGGACTACGACTCAGCCACCGCCTTGTGTACGCCTGATTTCCCATTTAGGCATAAATGCTTCGGGCTCCGTTGACGAAACGTGACTCCACTCACATATCTCTCGGTCTTATTCCTTCGGGTTTACACTGGATATGGGATGTGTGAATGGAGTTGTGGGTGGTGAAGCGCACGCCATTCATGGTCCCTCTGTAGGCACAGGCGTCCTGTGGCTGTCATATAAAGGTCGCCTTGACAGGCAAATCCGGGGCTGGATGCCGCCAACTATTCATCTACTCCTCTTGAACTGATAGTTTCTCTACGTTTACCTACATTCAGAGTCCTATAGATATTATAGTTTGGACGTGAATTAGGGCAACTAGAGCCACCGTACTTGGATGTGCAAAGCAAAGTTGGTAAGCCGAAATCAAACTGGTAGGTTGGCCACGATTAACCAATTGGACGAAGCTGATCTGAGTCTGCCACGTAGAGGCGCTGTAGACACCAGATCATTCGTACTAACAAAGAACCATCGCTGGATACATTATTTTCAAATTTCCACGCAATTAGTATGCTATGGACGTTGTTATGCCAATAAAATTACACTGGCCCAGTCAGCAAGTCACTACCTATAAGTCATCGGGCCTTCTTAAGTTCAACATATTGTGACTGCGAAAAAATAGATATCACAAACGGAACGGTAGTCTTAGACATGCGAGTTGGATTACGTCCTAACTGCTCGCGCGGACTCTCGTATTATGCTCAACAAGGGCAAAATCTCTTCCTGTCCACCATGGCTCAATATGGTGCTCCAATGCGAAGCGCTGATAAGTCGATTATGAACCGTGAACCACAATTTACGCGGTGGCTGTGTTGTCCAGCTCACTTCTGGACTTGAGTAATTTGTGACCCATGGTTGAGAAGAAAAATCGTCAGCATCGGGGATCCAGCGAGAGTGGAATGTGGGGTGCTATGTTAACGGTGCGCAATTTTAAAGGACGAAAGCCATGTTGTCGCGTACTTTATCACATTAACCAATCTAACCATTACTTAGTTACCCGAGCTCTCGTCATCCCGAGAATATAGAGCAACTGATAAAACATTTGGAAAAAGAAAAATAAAGTGGCAACTGAGAGATCAATCGAGAAAAGGTACCGTGAGGATGTCAAGAAAAATAGTCATTATGTTGCTCCAAATGGTGAAAATTGCAAAACTCACTTGTACACTGGAAGCATGATAGGTAAGGGATAAGCTAAATGAGGGGCAATATCAATCAGATTAGCCCGTTCACTCAATGCTTCGTTGACCATACGAAACTGTTCAATATCCAAATTGAATACAGCCTTCTGCAAATATCGCACGCCACCGTGGATCAATTTGGTTGAGCGGGATGAGGTGCCAGAAGCAAAATCAAATTTCTCGATTAGACACGTTGAAAGACCTAGTGGCGGAATGAGCAGGTAGAAAATCGGAGTGCGTGGCGTAAGGACAGTAACTAATTGCGTGTATAAACAACTGGAAAAGATGAACCATAATATGCTGATGCGAAACAATCAACGTCGGATGTGTCCTACTCCCCAATCGATAGATGTGCTGGTGGCGGAGGTTCCGTGAATAGCAACCATGGTGTTCATGGTATGGCGCGACAAAAGCAGGGCTAAGTGTCAGCAGTATACAAGTGCTAAGAAAACCAAACGGTAACGAGCCAACAGCAGGTCACACCAGCGCTTGAAAGGCGCAAATGTATGGGTAGTAAGAGCAGACAGTGTGCGTCACGTGGCATCCAAGAGGAAGTGCGCAGAGTGGTCGAATTTTCGGTACTCGGAATTGACGCACATGGTTGCCTATGATTACCACAACAAACAACTCTGTCCGCACCTTGGGTTCTTACATTATGTTGTGACCAGACAACTTGAATCTTAAAGATCTCTGGCCAGAGCCATTTGAAGAACGGGAAGGGGACCTTACTCGGGGAACTTCGAGGATGTGGCGGAGGCAGTCGGACCGAAGACCGACGGGCGAAGTTGGTGGCCCTACGGAGTTTCTTGAAAGGCGGGGTGAAGACAGCCCCGGAGGCGGCGCAGGAGTCCCGCCAAGTTGGAGTGGGCTGCAGCGAAGGAAGCTTTGCTCCCCAGCTCGAACAGCCCGGTCCACCGCCAGGAGGCAATAAGGTGGTTCAGGGCGGCCGGGTTTGGAGCAGGGGCGGATCTGTTCGTATTGGATTGTGTCCTGCCTAGGGCGGGGGAGGCGTCAAGATAGCAACTACTGGCGGATCTGTTAATGACCGGTCTCCTGCAACCGATCGCGGAATGCGTTGGGACTGCGAACGCTACCCTGGAAATGGGCCCGGAGGAGTAGGAGCAGGTGACCCGTGAGTTGGGCGACGCGTCACTAGCCGCGTTTGTGGAGGAACATTATAGACGTGCAGCGGATGATGGGACAACTCAAGCAAGACATCAGTGGCCTTCGAGTTCAGCGCTCGGAAAAGCGACCAAAAGGAGGTTGCTTCTTTTGCGTAAAACCTGCATACTATAAGGGACGATGCCCCATGATGCACGCTACTGTAGATGTACCGAACAAACGTATACAATCATGATGTCTTCGAGTCGAGGAACATGTGTTCGGGGCGTTAATTAAGGGGGCGATCGAAGCGATGGTGGAAGTAGACGGAGATATGGAACTGTGTCTAACAGGTACAGATCTCGCAATGTCTCCGGTCAGGCGAAGATCATCAATCGTGCTTCATGATAGTGAGGGTTGTTGGAGGCTACGCTGTGTGCACAAACGACATAAAAGTACACATCGTGGGAATCGGCAGACGGAAACTAGGACATGTCATCGCCGTGTCCCCGTTCGCGAAGCAGACCATAGTGGCAGCAGATTTCCTGGAGTCAAACAAGGCTATCGTCCAGTTAGAACGAGGGAAACTGTTGGATGAGTAAGAGTCGTTACCACTTGTTGGCCGTGGAGGCACTGTCCACTTGCATTCCGTAGTTGCCTCGTTACAGAGGTGTCCGGTCATGCAAGCACCCATCAGTAAGTGTCAGCTCTAGTTTACGGATGACAGCAGCCCATATGAATTTTGTGACTGAATCGAGCGCACCATTCCGCAAACCCGACAGACGCATCAACACACAGGGACCAATTCATTTGGAGGCTGAGGTGAAGAATCAAATACGGGAGATGCTGGATGCCGATGTTATTGTAGAGCGCAGAGACAATACAATTCCAAGTCATCATCATCATCTACAATACAAATTACAATAGGGCGAGAAGCACATCCCAGCTGCTGTGCAGCAATACGAAAAGATAATAATGACTGAAGGATACAAAAACCAAAAAGGTTAGTTAATCTTAAGTACAGTCCAACCTGCTATAAAGACCGCCTGTCTATGACGATCTAACGCTTTCTCCTATGAGTAATGTCACTATGCATGAACCTATCCATGACGACCACTTTTTGCCGGTCCCTTGAGTGGTCGCCTTAGACAAGTTTAGTTGCATTATATTATACGTGAAGTGTGGAATCGGGGTTCGATTGGGAGGGACAAAGAAATTCCCAACACAAACGTCATTGAGGTTGGCTCCTAGCCATAGCAACTACAGTAACAAATCAGGTTTTCATCGTCCCTCAAACTCCAACCAACCGATGCCCACTTCGAAGCGAAAGACTTCATTCCTCTTGACCAAGTCATCGCTTGGGCTCCCCTCCTCTTTTTTCATTCACAGTGCCGGCGCACAAACAGCGCACGTCGCGGGAGTCGGTGTTCTGGCATGTCCCAACAATTGGCCCAACAATTGGAGCCTGGTTCGTGAAATAACGGTGCTGAACGGCTCACTCGCTCTTCCTGCACCAAATACGCGGCGCCGAGCACGCTTATTGCGCATGCGGTGCTCCCACCAGACATGAGCTAAACTGCTATAGCAGCGACAGTCGAAGGTAACAGATCATTTTACGTCTGTTGATCTGATAGGTCAGGTTTCGCAATGGTACAGGAGGGTTGAACGCATGGCCGCATTGTAGACTCTGCCTTTTAGAGCGAGAGTGAAGTCATGCCGGGAACAAATGAAGCGAAAATTGACAAAAGCTCCACGGGCTTTGCTTTACGGTTCGTGGTCTCATCTTCCATTCCACTGGCGCTGATATAACTGCCTAGATACTTGAACTTCTGAACGACCTCTAGTTGATCCTCACCAAGGGTCAGCGCAGGATTGTGTTCAAGCCAATCTTAGAGTAGGAGTTTGCATTTCGAGGGTGCAAAGCATATCCCAAAAGGAACGACAGCCAGAGCTAAGTTATCTAGTGCTGCTCGGAATGATTGTGAGATGTCATAGGCTATGACAAAGTCATCGGGGTATTCCATGGCAAATTGTACATGCCAAGACTCCGACTGTGCATTGAGATAAGCTCTAATAGCGGTTATTACCCTAGCTTGAATGAAACACTCGGTTTCTCGATGACTAATTCGTCATCGGAAATCTTAGTCATGAATCAGAACCATCAGTCCAAGCTAGCACGTTAGCAAGCACTAATGAGATGAATGGAAACAAAGTCCTAAAAGGCTATGGAAGCTACCTACTCCCCTGCATTAGTTCGTTTGATTTGTGAACGGGACTCCATGGCGTCTATTATGTTGTCTGGGGCAAGAAATATCAGGCGAAGAGTTTCAAGAGGTTTCAACAAGCTTAAAAGGTGTTCGACTAGATGTCTCAGGACGGACAGGGAGCTTTCGTAGAGGACAAAAGGGAGATGGAAACGAAGAAAGCTAATGCTGTCAAGAACGACCAATGATTGTTTCAATTCACAAAGGAGATCAGCGAATAAGAAAATAACCGATAAAACACGTAGTTGATATAATTCAATGGCCTTCACAAAAATTGTGCCCAACGAAACAGCTATCGAAGAACGCGACAAAGTATGATTGAGATACTAGATGAATTTATAGGTCGACTAGAGAATCTTGTATGCCCAGGGCATCTAGTTCGGATGTTAAACTTAATGGTGCAGAGCCTGTTTAACTAATATGCAAGTGAGTGGATGCGCAGCGTGAGGTTTATAAAATTTCTGAAACTGTTTTTATCGGGCATAGTCCATCCATCGCCGAGAGACTGCACTTTGGGGCGGTGCGGTTTGTGTACCTCAACGATCCATTGGGCTATGCTGGGCGGTGCTCTTGCATCTTCAGAGCTACTCCTACCAGATTGGAAAATGGTTAGAGGCCTGACAAACTCAATCGCCTGGCCCTACAGGTTGGGGGTTGGAGTGAGGGTGGCGTCTTACACCATAAAACGGGCTCTCTGTAGCCCAGTGCCAAAACCCTGCTGCATTGCATGAAAAAACGGAACTTGTTTGTCATTGCAGCCTATGCGCCCACAAACTGTAGCGATGACTCGGTAAGAGGGGACTTATATCACCAATTAAACGCGCTTCTTCGTCACAGAAAAAGTACAGATACTGTGATGTTTGCTGCTGATTTGAACGCCTAAGTTGGAAAACTGTCCACTGATGAGCTTCATCTGAATGGTCAACATGGTGTAGGCTCCCGTAATGGTAAGGTTGGGAGGTTGCTACACCTAGGTGAAAAAGCTCGTCTGTTTCTCGAAAGCACTGACTTCAGACACAACACCTGCGGAAGAGTGACATGGAGCCCACCAGTTTCGGACCAGCCATGGACGCAAACCGATCACATTGCAACCAGTTACCGCTGGAGAGGATGCGTTCAAAACTGTTGCTCAATTTGGAGTACGAGCGTGGACTCCGATCAGGCACTTGTTTGCACGACCTCTGAGCGCGTTTCGGTGAACGTCCGCAATGGCGCTGTGAAGGCAGGAATATTTGCCAGGTGGCAAAACCAGATGGTCTGAATGCGTATCAAATTACGCTAGCAGCTGACCTGAAGAAACGCATATTGAACACAGCTGAAGATCACTGGTCGCATATCCGCCAGAGGTTATTAGCAGCAGGCATGCCTTCATGTGGCAAATCAGATTGCTAATCAAGATATTGGGCCACTATACAGTCTCTGGATGCTCATCAGCGTGTTGCGGCTGGAAGCGAATACAGTGAGATTCGCAAAGCTCAGAGCGCCAAACTATGTGTTAGCCTGATAAGAGACCGCGAAGTGTGGTAGTCTTATCGTGCGTCGGAGATAGAAACAGCCGCTGTCCTTGGTAACCAAGGCAACTTATTCCGCCTGATACGGGAAACGGTTAGCAGGAAATCTGGTGTTAGCGAGATCATATGCGATAAGTGGATAGCCGATGCATACCTTGTCAAAGCGTTTGGCGCCATCGGCAGAACATGAAAAAGCAGTTTAATCAGTCAGAGTTGCCAGTTTCTCCATCGGCCAATGAGCGCGCTACTCCCTGGGCCGTCCTAATGGATCCGACCTCAAGCGCAGAAATCGAACGTGAGATCAGACTGTTGAAAATGAACAAGGC